GAATTTCTCAGGCATTTCGTTGGATCGCGATATGTAACACAAGGATTTTTTATTGGCAGAGTCAAACGCAGCGCGAAAGTCAATGAAACATGCTGCTGTAGACTGTTGGAACTTGTAGCGGTGTTCCAGAATCNNNNAGGAGAGTAGATAATTGTTCAACACAGCCTCTTCCGCGGTGAAAAGCCCCTTGGTTCAGATGAGTGCGGGTATCTCTGACGACTGCGAGGCGATTCAGCAGTATCACTGAAAACAATTTGGCCACAATATCAATTTTCCATAACCTCGATGGGATTTGAATGCACACGTGTAAGCCACTTACAATTTTGTAGAGTGCACGCTCTACTAGCTGAGCCACGAGGCCATGCCGATGGCGTTGATCTTGTTACATTTGAATCACCCATCCAACTTAGAGAGGCATATGGGATCCAGTAGATAGATTATAGGCTTAGCCATGACAGGTTTTCCTTAGAATTCACCGGAGTCCATCGTGAGAACTTCTAATGAAAGGATAACTGTTCAAATTGTTTTTTGCTAGATTGAAGTCTCATGTTGAAATGGGGCGCAGTACGAAAGCTTAGGCGGCGTCCATGTGTGGGTTCGAATCCCACTGAGGCTACTGAAACTTGAATAATTTCAAAGTATATACATTGGTTCACCTTCTAGTTACCTTTTATTTATGACGCTCCATGACGGGATGCTCCTACATAGAATTTCACAACCAAAGTGAGTGAGTGGTCTTCGGGTAGACTGTTTATGCTAACGGAGTTTTGATATTTAGGCCCAATCAAAGGTATCGCTATTTGTGATGAAATAAATAGTTCGGGGATGGATTGACGATTCATCTAAGATTCAATTAGGATATAGTTTCTATAGTGAGTCACGTATCAGTGCGTCCATGTGGCTTTTTCATACAGCAAATATCGTTAGCGATAATAATACCGCCGAAACTACTCATAACATTTAGGGAGATCATATTGCTATTAATGTTATCAATACTGATGGCTTTGATAATTAGATCAAAGTAAATCATAACAATTGCAATGATTGCCGCGTTAGAGTTTTGAAAATACTGTTGCACGATAGGAAGGATGTTCACTGATTTGTTTGTCCACACAGAATAATAACGATCGGGACCACGTTTGAAGTGTCGGTAAAGGAAAGACGATTTTTATCGACTACTCGGCTAATGCTTATTGCTTGAATACCTGAAGCGGCAATAAACAATCAAGCTTTGATTTAGAAAAATCTCTTGTTAGAAGTAGCTATAATTCGCAAACATTTGCAATGCAAAAATGCATCCCGGATCAAAGCTGTTGGTCGCAAATCATTTGTTAAGAAAGAAAAGAGTTGGTGATAGGAAAAACGCTTTTCCGGCTATTTCTGTTCATATTCTTACAAATCATATCAGAGAAAACGTTCGTACGATGAAAGCAATTAACGAGGAGCATGAAATGAGGCATTCTTTTCCGCGAATATCGTTTCAATGTTCCCCAATCTGCCTCTGGTCGAGACGGTAGATTTCATCTGTGATCAATTAAAAAGTAAACTCTATATCTGGGGAAGTAACGGCTGTGTTACCCACAATATGCAATTTCTATTTACGCTGCCTTTTGCTTACCGATGG